TATATATATATATATATATATATATATATATATATACACACACACACATACACACACACATATATATATACATATACATATACATATACATATACATATATATATATACGACCAGGTCTTATTTTCGGGAAAACATGGTATCTAAAATTCTAATCAGCAGAGGCGGGGGGAGGGATAAGAATATATATATTGCCATCAAAAAAGGCTCCAGGTCTTATTTTGGGGAAATGTCCTTGTAGCAGCGGCCCCACCCAGCAGGAGCTAGCTGCTGGCCCACTTCTGTGGCCACTTGTCACTGCTGTGCGTATCGCCCGGCCTCTGTTTTGCCATCAGAGGCCCTCAGGAAAGGACTCTGCAGTCGAGAAGTGCAGTGCCCCCTGGCTTCCGTTTCGCCATCAGAGACCTTTCAGCGGCATACATGTCAAGCTAGTTTCTCAGCTAGAGGGACCTTTCCTGAAGGCCTCTGACAATGAAACTGAGGCTGGGGTGACATGCATGAGCAGTGGCAAGCGGCTGCAGAAGAAGTGAGCTGACAAGGCAAATGTCAGGGAATATGAGGCCTGGTTGCAACTGCCTGAAGATAAGTAGGGCAGCTCCACACCCAATAGTTTGATTTTTACCCATGTGCCTTGTCCCACCCCGTGTACCCGAGTGGGCCGGGTCATAACCAGGGCTTATTTTGGAGATAGGGCTTATATTGGGCGCATGGATAAAAATCAAGTTAGAGCTTATTTTTGGGATAGGTCTTCGTAGAAACATGGTAGCTGAGATTGCAGGAAATTTGAGAATGATGATCATAACATATTTCTCCTTCATATTTTATGCTGACTCTAGTCACTGCTGGTAGTACTATATTTTATACTCTGTGCATTAAATGCCTAGATATAGAAAAGTACACTATTTACAATATGAACTGTATCAGTTGAATTTCTGGATATTATTTTAATGGCAGGTAAATCCTTAGTTGGTGCTGGTGTTAAAAAAAAATCAGATATTTATTAAATAAAATACTGCAGTTAGTATTGCTAGCATACCACTTTTTCCTTTTTGGAAAGTAGAGGCTTACGCAAAACAATAAGGAACAATTATTGCATTAAACAAATAATGAAACTGCCAATCTCTTTAGGCAAAATGGGCAATCCCCCCATTCTAAAATAAAATATTTAAACACCATGTCACACATTAACATTTTGCTCTAGCTTTGGAGCGATAACATTAATAGTCTTGCAGTAATTATAAGCTATTTCTATTAGAAATGCAGTCCATGAGAAAATGTTTTGCTTTTTAACTTTGAGGTGGCATTTGTATTATATATCAATTTTTTTTCCTGCAGGTAATTGTTGGTTTTCTACAGAAACAGATGTAATAATTTGGCTTCCACTTTTCATGCATCACTAAGAGGAAAAAGAGTATTATTTAATCACAGCTTTAAGAACATAAGAAAAAATATTATCTTTCTCTTTCCAACTCAGGAATGAATATGAATATTCTCTGTGTGTGTACACACCTGTGTGTTTATGTGTATGTGTGTAAAATAAACAATAAGTGAAGTCTGAAGTTGTTCCAAGTAACACTATCAAACCTCACAAGTCAATTTGGGACAATTTTACTCTGAAATCTTGTATGAAAATGCACAATTATTTCATATTAAATTTGAGGGAATCCATGGGCTTCATCTGCTGTTCTGTAACCTCATACCATCTCAGGCAATACACTTTCTGAATAGCAATATTACCAAATATTTTTGTGATAATCAGACTTCTGGCTTATGTGTTCTATTTTGGTTTTGATTAGAATCAAGAAGAAAAATCAACTAGGATTTGATATAAAATATGCATGTTTATATTGTTATAATCTAAATCATAGATTGAATAGATGGAGTGGCCTCACAAATAATACTAAGCTATAAACCATGTTTAATAAAAACACAGTTTAAGTTGTCATCTTGAGAACAAAACAACATTTTTGGTGATGCATAAATATAGCCTGACTTTCTGAGGTCAGAATTATTTTATTCCAGGGCTATATATAGGAATATGCTGTGTCTGCCACAGCATATTTTTTTTGATAACAAAAAAAAAATATTCCCAAGGTTTACTCCCTTCCCCAATATAATTGAACTTGGCAGCAAATTCCAATCAATTTATTGTAATTAGTAAACATGCACAGAGAGTATATTGTAAATCTCAAAGAACTTTGGGAGAGAAGGGGAGTGTTTGTGGAAGAGTACTTGAACGCTGTTTAATTCATTCCCTGTTTGACGTAGGAAATATAGAATTAAAACATCTTCAAGATGGTAAAGTCAATTCCTAATTCTAGATAATTAGCAATATTCTCAGACAATATTGTTATAAATTATTTATCTGAGCACTGCTTAAACTATATTTAATCATTCTCCCTACCTTAACAGAAAATAAGCATTCACTTTGTGGCAGTCCTTATGATATTTAAAGAATATTATCATGCCTTTTGTATAGGAAAAGGTGAAGGCAAGTTAAGAGGACTATCAGCAACAAGGTTGATGGACTTGATAAAAAAAGATAGGGATCACTGTTGGAAGGTTTTATTTTTATTTTTGTACCCCCTCCCCTTCTGATTGTTAGCCACCCTGAGTCTTCCGGGAATAGGGCGGCATACAAACCAAATAAAACCTAAAACCTTAAACCTTAAGATCTGTAGGGCCAAAACAAATACCTTTCTTAACATATTAGCATTATGAACTTACTCTTGTTGTTCTTCATTTTGTTCAGGAACATGCTGGACAACATCATAAATTGTAACAGTATTCTGACTCTGCCCAACATCAGAGTCAGCAGCACCACGCCGTCTTGGTGGCTGAAAGAAGCAGATTACAATTTTATTTAAATAAATAAGCAAGATCACAGTAGAAGCCCATTTATCCATCCATCATCCAATTTCTAGTCGCCCAACTCAATCAAGTGATTTTGGGTAGCTCACAATAAAATGATAAAACAATTTAAAACTGTAAAAACATCCACAAAATAAAGGAAGTACAGCCAATGTGGAAAGTGGTAAAAGTGATGGATCAGGACAGAGGAGACTATTTCTTGCACTCCGTGAATCTCAATGAGATGTTGTAGGTCAGTCGCTTTTCCAGCCTAAAATACCTAATAAGTTTTTTTGCTATGAAGATAAATTGGGAGGCATAGAAACTACAGGTAATCCTCACTTAACAATGGCAATTGGAACTGGAATTTCCATCGCTAAAAACTGCAGTTACATATGTCATACAACTAACCCACTAGTTAGATGATAGTTTCAGCAGAGCCTAGATACCAAAGTTAAGCAAGGACCTCACACTACCACAGTTTCCAACTTCTTGCTGGTTCCATATTGACTCTGTTTGTGGGAAACTGACAGGGAAGCTTGTGACCAGCTGGAACTATCACAGTCAGAAATCTGGGTAGATTGCTGAGCATTTGGATTGCAATCACATAATATGAGAATGCTCCAACAGTTGGAACTCTTGAGGACCAGTCATAAATAGTACTCTTTCAGCACCATCACAAGTTTGAGAGGTATTTAACTCCTGTGATCTTGTAGGGGGAAAAACTGAATATGCAAGTGGAAAATAAGCTTTCAAAACATGAATTTATAGGAATTCTAGTTTGGGGAATCTACATTATTTTATAATCCTATTTTACAAACACTGATTCTTCAAATATGTCTTATTTCATTATATAAAAACTTACCCATGGAGTTCCTCTAGAACTTGTATATTCAATAAATTCATATACTCCAAAATCATCTCCTGCACTTTGATGTCCTAAAATATATATGTGTTTAAATAAAAACATGAATTGTGATGAATTATACTATATTATACTCCAGGCTGAAAATTGAAATATCATCAATGAAATGTTAAGAAAAAGTTGATTGCTGCAACATTTGAGTAAGGGAATGGAAGTAACAGACCATCATGGATATTCATGATGTTTCAAGTAAAAGATTATAAGAAAACAGAAATTCAGAAAAGAAGTTTATACTTTCCCCACAGAGTATATATATATATAAGTGAATAAAATTCATCCTTATTTGTCCTTAAACACCAATTTTGTTCTAAAGTAAATGAAGTACATAGAAACTTCATAATTTCAGATTTCAAAAGAAAAAGTAATGAATGACCATCAGAAATCCCCCCCCCCATATCTGTAAGAAATGGTGCATGTGTGTTTGTGTCCATGTCCCTGCACTTACTTTCCTTGGTATCCTCCAAATTGCCTTACTTCTCTATTTGAATTTTTGCATATTAATGTAAAAAATGGGAATCAAGCTTGCTGCAAAATAAAACACTAGTCTCCAGCATATTCTTAATTCCAAGCGTATCTCTGGTCCAAAAAGTTTTTTTTTTAAATAAAAAAATTATGAACAGCTATAACCCAGACCTTTGTTCCAAAGTATATTCATCTGTTCTCCTCTCAAAAGGATAAAGATAAGAAAATTGTTGTCACTAAGCTGGCATCCCTTGCGCTTATATTGTAAAGTGGGCCATAGCCCATTCTATCCATCTGCCTGTCTATCTGTCTGCCTGTTTATATATCTATCTTTCTAGTTTATGATGGATATGTCTCCATTTTATGCTTGCCTGTCACAGATTGTCCTTTTCGGTAACGTGCTTTAATCCTGGGGGCTCTTCTAAAAAAAATGGAAATATTTTAAATTTCATGTAGTATCAATACCATATAGGAGAAGACTTAAAAAAAATAAGTTTATGTAGAGTTCATATAAAAACAATAATTTAGTTTTCTACCTCCTCAATTTCCGCTGCAATGCTGCAAAAAAAGGAAGAAAATTAAAATTGTTTTTAAAAAGTACAATTTATAGAAACTTTAAAGACCATATGACTTAATTTAACATACCTTTATGTGGCTGAAATCGTTTCCATAATAAAAAAATACAGATTGCTACTGTCAAAAATACTGAAATTCCAGTTATTACTGCCAGAGGGGATAAATGTTTCCCTTTCTGAGCTGGCTGATCCAGTCCTATAACAGAAATAGATAGAAATTAATCTTTGATTGTTAATTGCATATAGTATAAAATTCATATAAAATTTCTTTAATTTTTTAAAATCAGACATTATATACAAAATTGCTTAAGTTTGATTTAGGTGACACTCCCCCGCCCCCGGAACATCTAAAGTTAGTATCTCTTGTTGATCAGACAAACCATAATTTTAATAAATCCCTTCTTTAAGATTATGTATAGATCAAAGATGCTTCTAATGGCATCTCCTCCGAATCTTGTACATTCAGATATTGCTGGATCACATGTTCTATCATTCTTAATAAAAATAGCTAATGCCAACCATTGATGGCAGTTGTTCTTCAACAAGAGGAATTCAAAGCGGCTTCTGGTTTGGGCAGTGTCTGTGGGGAGTTGTTGTCACTTAACGCTGCCATGACACTATGAATTTGACACCCTTGCTCTACAGGTAAGTCCTTGCTGAGTGAATATAATTGGGACCAGCAATTCAGTTGTTAAACAAAATGGTTGCTATAGTAAGTGAAATGGAGACTGTGTTTATAATTTTAGTTCAGCTTTCTTTTGCACTGAAGACCCTGCAAAGATCATGACAGAATTGGTTGTAAAGTTACTTTTTCAATATCATAAGTTGTGGTCAATTACTATTTGAGACAGTTGCTAAACAATGACTATGTGTTCAGTATAATTATGTCATCACCAGAGCTTTCAGGAAAAATGTAATGTGCAAGAAGAACAATATTTGGCCAGTAGCTTGCCCCTTCTATCATCAACTTCTATTTATTTTTATCCCTGTTTTATGATGTTTTGCTACCATAGGTTATACTAAGACATTGTGGTATTAGCTAAATGGCAATAGATTGGCTAGAGCAGTGTTTCTCAACCTTGGTGACTTTAAGACCTGTGGACTTCAACTCCCAGAATCCCCCAGACACAGGACTTAAAGTCACCAAGGTTGAGAAACACTGGGCTAGAGCATTGTCAAACTTGCATTGTCATGGAGTTGTTACACAATGTATTGTGACTTTTTCCTCCTTTGTTAAACCAGGCATGGGCATGGTCAGTGCGTGACACATCTGGCCTGCAGGCCACAAGTTTGGCAGCCCTGGGTTATAGGGAACATCAAATAGCTATCAGGGTCCCACATTTGTTCTTAACATGCTGATGTAAGTGACTGCACAGCTAGTTTCAAGCAGTTTCAGAATATTCTCTAAACCAGGGGTGTCAAACTCACGTCGTCACAGCAGCGTCATTGTGACTTTCCCCACCCCTTCAATAAACGGAGTGTGGCTGTGGCCAGTGGCCGTTTGACAGGCCTGCTCTATGGGATTGGGAAGAAGAAACAGTAAGGAGTACTGTCTCACCAAAGGCTCAATATTCATAGAGATTAGTTAATAGAAATACCCTAGGTCTCTCACCAAAGATTGCCAAAATTCTTTCAAAGCACAAATACATATGGTGTCCTTTGAATTGCTAAACTTTCAGTCAAGGCTGTTCAACTGATTGAACACATTTTATGGAACACATTAGTTGTACAGTGGTGGGCTTCCATTTTTTTTTACTACCGGTTTGCTCAGGCCGCACGCTTGCACATGATGCTTCTGGAGATGCGCAGAAGCATCAGGGCGGATCCTTCCGCCGCCGCTACTACCGGTTTGCCCGAACCCGGTGCAACCCACCTCTGCATTGGTTGCATGTAAAGCTGGTGATTTACCTAAACAAATGTTGATTTGTATTTTAGTACTCAAGTTTATGTATACTATTTTTTCTTACACCATTTTCTATTTTATTTTCTTATATTTTAAGTTTTTTTCATTTTATCTTATTTTATTCTATTTTGTTGCAACCCATGCCCATTGTTGTTTGATAATGGCTAACTGACTAATCAATAAAGGTAAACTTGATATTTGAGTACTGGACAGGAACAGCAAGAGATGATAGAAATGTAGTAAGTTTCTTTCTGCAGCCATCTCTAATCCAGGGAACCTAAGAATTGCCTTACATTAATATTGCCTTAAATGACTACTTACCTCTGGGATTCAAAAAAGGATATATTCTGCTCCACCCGTTCGCTGAGGTGACAAAGAACATGTATATAAAAATTTCTAATTTCTTTTTCTTGAACAGGAAAATCACTTTATTTACCCAGTTTAGATATTTGAAATTATTACTTTCAAAAAGTTTCTTGCCCTCATTTTTGCAGATAAAAGTATTAAAGGGTGATATGTTATATCATCCCATAACAGCATTTGCTGTACTTACAGGTGGCCATTAGGGGATGCTCACACTTCATCCCTACTTCTAATAGCTTGGAGAACATTAAAAAAAAATCTCTTTAAAAATCTATAGGAATGAAAAACAAATACTGGAACATTATTAAATAATTAGATGTAGCCTAAATAGGTAGCCAGTTTGACGATGAAGAAAATAATGTAAGATGGAGAAAGCATTACACATGAAAAATGGTAAAAGACCTCCATAAGAATTAATACATAAGTTTGATCACTCAGTTTACTTCGCACATAATCTGATTGTTAGGTTTATTCCTGACAACATAACTAGGTTTGTTCCTTAAGCCATCCTGGCCAGCTCCATACAGCATCATAAAACCAAATCCGAACTAAAAGCTACATCCAGAATGCATAGTGCCTTGACACAGTTTATTGCTGACGTGTCCTCTTGCAGGATGTCTCTTTTTAGACTTGAGAGGCAAACAGAAAAATAGGAACAAAAATAGAACAGCAGGAAAAGGAGCTAGAGAAAAAACATGGTTCCTGCATCAAAAAGGAAATTGAAATTCTTGTTGCTATTTTTTCTGAATTAAACTCAAAAGTCTGCAAGTCTACAAACTAGATTTTGATAAATGAGACAAATAGACAAAATCCTGAAGCATTTATGACCAAAGAATATACAAAATTAATCTTGCTATAGAAGAAACAATAGCTTTTTTATTTGTTTCAACTACCATTCTTTCATTTCCCCCAAATAACTATAGTTTTTCTTAGCAGCAAAATCGTCAGAGATTTCTACCAATAGTTGTCAAGATTTTTGCAGCCCAGATACCATTCCCTTAGCAATGTTAAAGGCATGAGACCTAAAATTATGTATTTCTACTGCTGCCTTTTTTGAAGGAATAAAATAAAAACAAAAATCCATAGTAGTTAATTCCCTTCTTAAGACAAACTAAATGTTTCAATTATTGTAAACTAATTGCAAATTCTTCATTGATCATTGGAGATAATTGGCAATAAACAAGAAGGATTTTAAACTTTAGAATATCCCCATAACAATTTTAATTCAAGTGTGGAGATCAAAATAGAATCCACCAGAGGTTCCATCATGTACTTGAGTTCCAGCAACAATAGTTTGCTGGACCCAAAAGCATTTTTAAATGTCTAATTTATTACAGATGTATCTCCAACAACTACTGTAAAACTAATCTACATTCTATGCAAAATTCAGAGACCATATTTATTAGTAGAAAACAGAATGTAAACCATTAGATACAATTACTGTATCCATACAAAACTGGATACAGTTTAACACATCACTATGGATGAGTCAATGAAATTGCATTATACTTGATTCAGTTCTGTTGCTGATTCACACAGTACATTAAGTTATAATTAACTATAATTTACTGATTACATAAAATTGCCTTTATTTATTTACTGTGGCTTATATCCTTCAAAGATACCAAGGAAATATTTATAGTTCTGCAATCTCTTCTATTTTATTCGTGCAAGACTACTGCAGCTGGGTTTTGGCTATATTTTGTGCAAACTGCCAATTGTGGTTGTTGTTTAGTGGAATACATCAATGCATTCAGCTCATTAATAAGTCAAATTTATGTAAAGCATGGTTTTAGCATGGTTTTATAGCATGATATATGAATTGAATATGTTCGTTAAATTAAGATGCCTTAAAATAATCCAGTGGGTTTCATGGTTGAAAGGAAATTCCAAATCAGATTTTCTAATCCAGTATTCTATTCCTACATTATGCATCCTAACCCTTGCCACACATGGTTTATTAAATAAACCATGGCTGTTTGCATGAACCTAGCAGATTTAGTTTAAGATCTGTATAACATTTTTTTTTAAAAAAATTAAATACTAAAAAATTGCTTAAAGTGACTGCTGTAACTCCTCAGAAATCATATTCTGCTGTCTCGCTGATAGATCTGGTTTTTCCTGGAAAATATATCTAGTAAAACAACATGGTGAAAGTGCATTCATAATAGAGTGACTTATTTCTGTATATATCCAAGAGTTAATTTATGGTGCCTATTATGTATATATTTTCTTCATGTTGAACATTTTGCCTGGTCCCAGAATAAATTGTATTTGTTTCCTAAAATGCCTATCTTTAGTTAAATATATTTAATCCCCTAATTTAGTACATGTAAATATGAAACTGATAAGATGTAGCCATGATTTCAGAAATTTGTTTATTTTACTGATAAGGCATCTGTGTGCTAGAGATAAAGTCCAGGACCTCTAGTTTTGGTTCTGCTAATCAAGTTTAGAAACTTCTCACAATTCTACAGAAGCTTCCAAAGTGAATATGCAATTTGTCCGGAAATATTATTTTCATACATTGAAGAGGGTTGAGAGGAAAAATATTTAATATAGGTGCCAGATTAGCAAACACAGTTAATCTGTTTGAATAAGAAAAATAATTTATCACTACAGGTCGTCACTAGACAAGTGTTTTAATTCATGTCTCTTGACACATTTTTATATAATACTTCCTGCCATGCTTTATAGCAGGCAGGAAAAAATGTATTGATCCCTTACCCTTTATAAATAGGTGTCAGTCTGGAGGGAGAAAAGCTTTAGAAAGAGAAGTGATGTTCAGTTCACTTTTTATCTGAACTGAGATGGAGCAAGTAGTCAGAGATAGTTGTTTTCAAAGGGATAAGATACTCATCATACTGAACCCCAAACCTCACTCAGCACTCTCATGTAGATATTGAAAAGGAAGGGAGAGAGAGTGCGCTATAAAGTGACGCCCCTCCTTAAGCAACACCAACTGGAAATTCCTGACTAATGTTACTGACTTTTTCTTTTTTAATAGAGAGGAAGAATGCAATAAAGAATCAACTAGATTTGACTGGCTTGTTACTAACTGGTAAAGAAGCTTTGGTTTGCGAAGTGGAAATAGAAAAACTAAATAGAAGACATAAGTAATCATATTAAATTGGAGCTTTTGATTAGAAGAAATACTAAACTGAATTTAGTTCAATAAATGTCAAAATTGGATGTTTTAAATTCAGAGCATTTAAAAGTAGGAATGCACATTAAAAAGAAGCTAATGGGAAAATGATCTCATGTGAGTAGAAATCCCTGAAAGTGAGGGCGCACATTGGAGAACAGATTCCAAATATAAACTATTTTTAAAAATTCTATCAGTGTGAAGGAATTTGACAGTGAAATTGGAGAGAGGATCAGCTTTCCTTCACTGATTTTGTTCAAGGCTAGATAATCTTGTGCTGAAGGATTATCTTTTAATAAGAGTACTTGCATTGGGCAAGGGTTTGGAGTTAACAGACCAAACAGGGTCTTTCAATTTTATGAATCTTTGAGGAGGAAAGGAAACAGAACAACAAGACATAACATTTAAACATGGCTCAAGGTCTCCCAGCTAACTTTGTGCCTAGGGCTGGACTAGAACTCAGAGTCTCCCAACTTCTAGTTCAATGCCTTAAGTACCACAGGTTACCTTTGATTTACATCCATTCCTTTAACAAACATTCAAAGTTACAACAATGCTGAAAAAAGTGACTTACGACTGGTCCTCATACTTATGATCACTGCATGTCCTTGCAGCCATCTAATCAAAATTTGGTCATTTGGCCACAAGCACATATTTACAATGGTTGCAGTGTTCTGATCACCATTTGTGACCTTTCCAGAAAACGTCAGACAAGAAAAGTCAATAGAAGCCAAATTCATATAATGACCATGGCTAAAAGATCGTTAAACTTGCGTGTGATTTAGTTAACAACTGTACTGCTGAGCAATGGAAGTTCCAATCCCAATTGTGGTCATATGTAAAGGACTATCTCAACAGGTTTTCTCTCAAGCCCAATACCAGTATTGCTTCTCCTATATCAATTCCAATTTTTCTCTTTCTCTCTTTTTGCAATACCAAATCAGACCTATAACTGATTCATATATACACTGAGAGAATTTTTGAAGATTAATATACAATAGATCCCACAGGCTTTTGAGACTGATGCACAAACAAAGTCATAGAGCTTGGCTTTTGTATATGATACAGCAAAATTATTGCATAAACAAAGATGGAAAGAACTTGTAAACACCTCCAGTGGAGCAATGGTTGATGAACATGGAGAAATTAATTGAGACTTCTTTGATTAGAGAAAAAACAGTATCTACATTTATTACTGACTGGAAGCCCCTAATGGATTTGCATAAAACAGAAACGTAAACATTTGATTTTTGATTTTGGTGATTAGACAGAAAAGATTATAAAAAGAGCTGTAATGAGAAAGGGATAATCGTATAAGTATACTTGTATTGAACTTTACTGCTGTGAAGAAGATTGAAAGTCATTTCTTTATATCTCTTTTCTATTTTTCTTTGACCTTTTCTTTCTTTCTTGCACTTTTAGCTTTTTCTTTGATTTCTTTTTCCTTTTTTCCTTTATGCTAGTTTGCATTAGTTTTTTAATCTTTGTTTTTAATAACTTTTAATAAATTACTTTAAAAAGACATAGATATTTTCTGCATAGATGCACAAATTTCTATTGAAGTATCTTTGATACTACAAGATGCCAGTTATTTATGACTAACATGTTTCTGGCATCTCAGGTTTCACAATGCAAAATAAATAAATATTTTTATAAGTTTGCTAATATTGACAGCAGAAAAATCAATAATGCAGTTAGTCATAATTTGTAAACATCTAAAGGTCATCAGTTAGAAGAATCACATTGTTACTATTTCAGTTTTCTAGGTAAAACTTTGAGCAAAATAGATTATCTTTACTTAAAATAAAACAGTATTTTCTAAGGTAAAAGGGGATTCCAAACTGAAATATTTAGGGTCAGTTTTTTTGTTTTTTGTTTTGCTTTTCCTAAAATCCATTTTTGTCACATTTCCCCTTTACACTGAAAAGAAAAAGAAAGGAATAAATCACTATTGCTAGAAATTTGAACTGTCATGCAAAAGATGTTTGACATTAGATTAGTGATATGTGGCTCAATTTTCCTCAAGTTACATAATCCTTGCTTTTTAAAAATAAAGTGGATGTCAACAAAAACAAACAATGTCAGCTGTTCATAGTGATTAATAGTCAGCTTCTCTTATTACAAATAAAGGACAATATTTGTAGCTCAGGGTTGAATTGAGGGGTCCTTGATGTTTTCTGAACTTGGTTGCTTTCTTGCAAGAAAGAAGGAGAGCACCAAGAACCACCCAAGGCTTGCTTTCCAGTTAAATCCATTTTTTTCCTGAATTTTTCATACCATAGAAACTGGTTCCTCTATCTCCTAATCACATAGCAAAACAATATTCCATGTGTAATAACTTACAATATGCTTTCTTTTCTGACAAGTCAGTCTGCCTAATGGTAAAGACTCTTGTTTAAAAATGCTAAATGTTCTACCAATGCCAAACTTATCTTTGGTCATTTTCTTTTTAATCTGTAATACCAATTTCTCTGTCTGTCTGTCTGTCTCTCTGAATACACTTGTTCAACCTAATATTGGTTTCACTATACAGTTCTAACCCGTTATTCTTTTAACATGTTTGAAATTTTTTCCCCATGTACTATTACACTAAATCCCTCCATACAATAGAGCCGGTGTGGCGCAGTGGTTAAATGCAGCATTGCAGGCTACTTCAGCTGACTGCAGTTCTGCAGTTCGGCTGTTCAAATCTCACCGGCTCAGGGTTGACTCAGCCTTCCATCCTTCCGAGGTGGGTAAAATGAGGACCCGGATTATTGTTGGAGGCAATATGCTGACTCTGTAAACCGCTTAGAGAGGGCTGAAAGCCCTATGAAGCGGTATATAAGTCTAACTGCTATTGCTATTGCTACAATAGGCAGTTGCTATTTACAGATGGCACAGAGCTTTGTGGTGCAGGACACAAATGAGCTTGGGAAATGTGCTGTAAGGTTTCATACTAACTAACAGAATCACTTCAGAACTGAAGTTTTACTATCAAAAGAACTAAAGATAGACTAAAGGTTGATCTTGCAATGATATGAGATCAGATGAACCTAAGAACCCTCCTCTTAAAAAATAGTTAACAAGATATGTTTATGCCACAGTAAGGGGGATAAGATGATGAACCTCTATCATAATTCTACCAAAATTTACTGATGTATTAACTGAAGAGACTGAGAGAAGGAGAAGGAAGAAAGGCTGCGTGTTCTGTCTATTTAAACATGGGGTAGGTGGGAGGAAGACAATACAATCTACAGAATTGGATGGGAACTTTAGAGATTTTTACAATTGGTCACAAAATTGCAATCATTTTAATAAATAATAATTAGAATCAATTGTATCAATTATATTTCATAAATATGATTTAAAATGAAACCAAATGTTTCTTCAGAAGGGACCTACTCTATTTCTTTCTTTTAGATGCCATTGCCTTCTTTCATTAGATGAGACTAGACAAAGGATAGGGAAGTTCTCACCATTTAGAAATTACCATTTTTAATTATTGGCAATACTGACACGGACACTGACACTATAGGGATCAAAAAATGGAAGTTTTGAACCACTCAATATGATAATATATCATAAAGCAATATACAACTAATTTATCATTGTTGATCCATTTTAAACTTCAGAAATACAAATGGATAAATTCTAAATCTTAATATGCTGGCACAAACAACATCAAACAACTACATTATACAGTGTGATGTTAAAAGGGAATATGCAACCCTACTACAACACATAAAAATAATATTGAGATGTGGGACATGAAAGAAATATGTTTCCTAACCTCTGCTTAGCTTCTGTTCCTAGGAGAATGTCTTAACACATCCAAGAGTAAGAAATGTCTTAAATGACAATAACTTTTACATATGCACTGAAGAAAAGAAAATTTGAACATTCCACATATGACAATATGTATTATGTGGAATCATGTAAGATCAGGATGTTTCTCTGAAAATGTATTACATCATTTCCCAAATTGGTATGCTCTACACCAGTGATGGTGAACCTTTTCAGCACCGAGTGCCCAAACTGGAACTTGCATGCATATATATGCATGCTGGAGTGCCGGAAACCCGAAGACCAGCTTGCCAGCACACACATGCTTGTTTTTTGGCTGTTTTGGGGGCGTTTTTGGCCCAAAAAACTGTCCAAAAAGAGCCAAAACCTGGCCTGAAAATGCCCCCCAAAATGGCCTGAAAACAACCCAGAAAACACCCTGTTTGGGGGGCACTTTCAGGCAGTTTTCCAGTGCTCTGGTGGCCGCGAAGACCAGCTGGCCGGCGTGCATGTGTATGCCACAAACCAGAAGAGCAGCTGGCGACAGCACGTGTGCCCAGAGAGAGGGCTCTGTGTGCCACCTCTGGCATGCGTGCCAATGGTTTGCCATTACGGCTCTATACTGTAAACCTATATCAATTGTATACCTATCATTCATTCATTCTTACCCTTTGGTATTACTATCACCAGGATGTGGGTTTCATCATAGGTTCCAGTCATGTTGTTGTAAGCAGTGCATATATATTCTGTTTTCTGTGTCACCTCCTCAGATGCAATTTCAAGAAGTCTTCCATATTGTAGTGGATACATGGAGTTGTTTGACTTCAGGATCCATGAATAAATGTTTGGTGGATTGGAATCTGCTGAGCAGTACAGCTGAACAGCATCACCTTTATCCAGCGTGAACACCTTTCCTACTTTCTGGCCTTCGGCAGTATTTATGGTAATCCCATAGGGTCCATCTTGATAAACATCAAGTGACACAGAGAGAAAGAAAACAAATTCAACAGATGGGACATGCATATATTCTGCTTAATCCATTGCAAACATAGTCCCACTAACTGCTTGCTAAGAATAACCTCAACCCATTCCTAGCCTCTTGCAAAGAAAACCTCTGCCTGTCTTTTGTTGTCCATTTCAAAACTGGAACTCTTGGGTGAAGAAATGCACATACTCAATTCAGAACACTATTGAAATACAGAAAGAAAAAAGGTGCATGCAGTATTTTGTCTTGCAATTAGCATGAATATTTTTGATACATCAAGCTTCTCAAGAGGTTTTAGCATTTATTTATTAAATAAGCCACCCATTTCACTTTCAAGGAATTTTGAGCAGCTTACCTTATAAAACAAAATATAGAAACACGAAACATTAAAATTAACAAAAATTGAGTAAGGTAGGAACCACTATATCAAAGAGGTGAAGGTGGAATCTTCTTAGTCAACTAACCACTTGGCAGGTACTACTAGCATTATGGCATCTTTGCTTTGCTGGTCAAGAAATCTTTTGCTTGATTAATGACAGTTTCAACCATTAAACCTAGAATATTATGGTTGTTTTGATATGATTTTGCTTGTTGATAATATTGTGTCCACCTCTGGGTAAGGTTCCTAAAAAGCATCATTCACTGGATCACTGAGAGTCTTGAGGGAAAGTTAGAGTTGGGCACTTGGGATAGGAAAAGCCATGATTGGCCTAAACATGGTTTTTCAGTTGTTTGGATTTCACTTTGATACAAACTTTGCTCTATGTGCTTTCTCCATCTATATTGAGATCACAATTTCTAGAATTATCAGGATGTCTGTCTAACAAAGTATTTGAGGAGTACCGTAGTACAGATAGGGAAGGTGCCTGGCATGTAGGGAAGATATCAAATGGGTAAGATATACAGATGGGTAAGTTTATAAATTAGAGTTTGGATTCACAAAACTACAAGCAAGTATAATTTAATATTTGTGAGAACCATTGCCTAAAACAAGCAAGTATATGTATGAGTTTACATACATTCAGGAAACCAGAGAAAGATTGACTAAAGTTGTATTATTTCCATTTTGTGGTAAACCAGAGTTTATTTTAACTAAGGTTTGCTTAGGAAGCTATAGACTGAATCCACACTACACACACACTACACTTTTTAAAAATCAAATGTACTAAAAATACTTTTAGATTTATACAATACACTAAGCCCAAATTCTAGTTTCCAAACTGCAAAATTTATTTTTACACACTGTGCTAATATAAAACTAAACAAACCATGTCATTGCTCAACAGAGAACAAGGGACATGCAGAACCAGCAAAATCAGGAAGCTACAAGACTTATAAATGCTGGTACAAATATGGAGGAAGTGCTATAAATACATATTGAAAATCATTAATTTGAGAATAGCATGCAGAAAATGATTTTGCCACAAGAACAGCTTGAAGGAAGAAGTGGAATAGGATTTGCTCTACCATGTTGTGTGCTGTTAAAAAAAAATTATTCCCCGTTTCTCCTTTTTGTCTTTTCCCAATTTTTGCTAAGGAGCATCAGGTACAGTGCAGTCATGGCTAACTTAAAAGCACTTTTGCTGTGAATTAGCTTTGATTGATAAGTTTGTAACAGAAATACAGTAACAAAACATAATTATACTCTCTCCTGATTGCTACTGCTGACCTTTCCACTTCTTTTTCTTAGGATTATCTTTGGCCAATTTGTATCTAACATCTGTCATGACAAAAGGATATTTATTCTCTTGTGAAATATTGTGACTTCATGGTTTCCATCACTGCAGTTTCACATTGTGATAAGGGGTGTAATTATGCATCAATAAAACAAAGCATGATAAGATAGTATCTGTGGCTCACATAATGATGCCCATGTTCACAGGCAAGGATGTATTTGGAATGTGTTTATATTTCTAGATATGAGACTTGAAATAATATGTTGTGTTCCATTAAAGCATTCTAGTATTTTGTAGTATTTTGATATTAGTCATGTTATACTTATAATTTTGAGAAATTTATTCTTGAGTATGGGATCACTGCACTGTGAGTGGATTTAATGCACTTGAGAGAAATTATCATTTTTTTTTGTCTTAAGGAATCCAAAGGCTCTTAAAACCTCAAGTTCCATGGGCGGCTGCTCTGATTGGCACAAACTGGGATTTTGTGCTGATAGTGGTCCAGTTATGCAAGCTGGGTGAGTTTAATCAAATGTAAATCCCCATAATGCTCCCCGACAGTACTTGGTCAGGGATACTAGTTTAAAATAAAATTGTTATTAAATCCATTCACTTGCCACTATAGGAGGAGTGAAATCCAGCAGATTCTGACAGGTTCTGGAGAGCTGGTAGCGGAAATTTTGAGTAGTTTGGAGAACCAGCAAGTACCACCGCTGGCTGTCCCTTGAATGGCAATGTGGGTTTTGCAATATCCTTTCCCTGCCACGCCCACTAAGCCACGCCCACAGAATTGAATTTCACCACTGCACTACATGTATTGCCAGGTCAAAATAATTAGGTTGGAGTTGTGACCAAAAAATTAGAGCCCTCTATCAGTTGTGGGTTCTGTTTAGAAACTGGATCCTTAATGTCTCCCTAAGGACGTCATTTTCTGGATCTGATCTTGGGGCAATATAGAATCATAATCATTCTGTCTATAAAATTAGCCAATAACTTGCTCAAACATGTACTTAATCTCCCCCCCCCCTTTTCTAAGTACCATGGTGGTCAGTGGTGGGTTTCAATTTATTTTACTACCGGTTTGCATGTGTAGAAGTGTCCGGGTGGGTGGAGCCTCCTGCCACTGCCACTACCGGTTCACCCGATCCAGGGCGAACCGGCAAAAACCCACCTCTGGTGGTGCTGGTGATTAAATGCAACTGTATACAAAAAGTTTAGTGGAAGAAAAGATACAATTGAAAAGATAATCATTACTTGTTCTGATGTATTTCAATATAAATTAGGTGTCTAGTAAACCTGTTTTACAATTTTTATTTTTATACAAATAAAAAATGGATTGTGGCAGGATTTTTACTAGTGACTTTCGTCTTCCGGAGTCATCCATTATTTTTTATGCTGTGGCAACAGAAATACTACACGATGATAAGCCTTGTATCTCTGTGAATGTCCCTAAGAAGGTGTAAGTCACTAGAGGGTTAATGGTATGGGAACAGTCCTCCTGGGAAATTCTTTCCAAAATAATTTTTAGATGTTTCTAAATTAAAATCTATTTCTAATTAAAGGTCTCTAGTAAGCCACTACCTCTTTTTTGATATCATTCTGAGCAAAGCAGACCTTTTGCCTCAGTAAAACCTATTTACTAAATGACTTGTAAAACAATAAATCATCACTTCTTAGCAACTATTTACTTCTCAGTGGGAACATAAGCAATTGTATCTGTCACGAGGAAACTGTAATCCATCTTGTTTTTGAACAGATGGTATTTACCGTGAGTGACCTTTATTATTACCCTAATTCCCCAGGCAGCAATGGCATATGGTCTTTGTAACTTGTAGAGCCATTACTTGATTGTTATTGAGAAAATTGGCAGCCAATAGACAGAATTTTAAAATACCACTTACAAGCGTACTTTAAATTATGTAACTTGAAAGCAACATTTGAGGAAGTTGTGGATATATGGGCTTCTCTATTATTGGGGGGTGGGGCTTACAAGTTCTTGAAGTTTCATGCAAACCCTCTTTTGTAAAAAGAAACAAAATTTTGTTAATATTTGTTTAAATATTAACAAGGAATCAATCCACAGAGTATCCCATACCATAAAATTATTTGCTTAAGTTTCTCTTAGGGAATCCAGCCATATTATACCAAACAATATTATTATTACTGTTAGATATTGTTTTATCCTTTTAATGTTTACTAGTTTTAATGTTTGTCAATCAAATATTAGTCACCTCTAGACAAGAGGGGGGGGATACAAATCAAACAAACATATATACCACTGCAATATTATATGCAAATTAGCATTGATGGCTTAATTAATCATATTTGAAAGAAAACCTAGCTTACAAGTTTACTCTTGTTCATTTTAAGGCAAATGATAATCTTAACTAACATTTAATAAGCCCGGCCAGTCCATAAGTCTATTCAATGAATCATGGTTTAGGTAAACAATGGGTAAACATGATATATAAAATCAGCTAACATGAATTAAATTATGTATTAATGTAACTTAGATTTATAATATTAGTTCTCAGCTGTAATGAGAAATACCTTCTATTTGTGTTATGATTAATGTTTATAGCAGTAGTGTAGTATTCTAGCCATCTCACTAGATGGGACAACTCAGTCAGCTTTTCAGGGAATTTCATTCATTCATTCATTCTCTGCCTTTGTTATATTTACAAACAATTCAAGGTGCTGACCACATCCAACACAACTTCCTCCTATTTTTGTATTGCTCTATAGCAACAACCTTTTGAAGTGAGTTAGTGAGACTGGCTGGCATAAGATCCCCCACCTGGCTTATATGGCTAAAGTGGGACGATCTCATGGTCTCCCACTTCTAGCCTGCTGCCTTAACCACTAGAACAAACTGGGCTCTCTTAATTTGCTATTGTTTTAAACTCTGTGTGTTGGGGTGGGGGTGGGAGTTGGAGGAGAATGAGCTGACTGAGCCTTCCCAGTCTGGTAAGAACACTAAGCATTCTGCAAGCTATTATGGTACTTTTTTTTTGCTCAAAAACATCTAAGTTTTTTTTTCATTATTTCCTTCATGAATTCACAGTAGAATGACAGATTTACAGTTATCTTAGAATAAGAGTGAATTCAGTGGAAAATCTATTGTTCAGACTTGAACAGTGGAGTTCACAGAGCCCTCTCGGAGCTAGTTGGTTGCCTGCAGACATTTCATTACCCAACTAGGTAACGTCATCAGTTCAAGTAATTCAGGATTTCCTCCTTGGTAGTTCTGAATTATTCAAGACAATTGCTCAAAAACATCTAGTTTTGAGCCTTATGAGAAATTCCCTACAATGCTTCTAATATTACTCACTCTGAAACCACTTAGGACATTGAAATGGCAGCTTTTAGCTGGCTGCCATTGTTATTACTAGAGTCTGAAGTTCTGTCACCAGCAGAAAAAGGGGTTGGCCACATTTTTATCAATTGTAAGGGCATTACAATTGATAAGGCTGCTATTGCTTTCCTCAAGCAGATTCTCACATAGTTCTGAATAGGTTGGATCAACAGATGGAAATCCCTAGAGATTAATTCCAACACTTTTGGAAAGGACCAGTTTGTAGACATGGTTATAAGGCTGAAAGGCAGAAAATGATCACTGATGAATGACAGTTTGAAACGTATAATTTAATGCAATGACCCTGACATGATTCCACTTTACATAACTTGTCTGATAACTAGATAAGTGGCTGAAAAAAGAAGGAAAGCAGGAAAAAAAGGTCACAAAAGTCATTTCAAGTTGCAGGCAATCTCATGGTGAATTAGTGATAAGAATTTTAATCAATGAACAATATTAGCTTATCTGGAAATTAATGAGCAGTAGGCCCAATCAGGTTTTTTAAAAACTTTCCCAATTTCCTCTACATCTTCTCTCTTTGACTAAATTCAATTTACTTTTTATCATGTTGCTTTAATGGAATATGCTTCCAACATCTTTAGAGTCAACAAAAATGTTGGAAGCATTTTTTTGAATCTTTCTTTCAAAAGAGGATCATGTGAACCGGTTGGCTTACAGCTTTGTAAAGGCATTTTTCTAAGCCTTTTTCCCTACTGGTCAAATCCTGTCTGCCTCCAACATACTGCATGGAACTTGCACTGAACCAACCTGGGTTATTTTTATTATACATTTCTTAATGCTTGCTGCCTTATTTTGTGCTACTGTTTTATGTTGCATTTTATATTGCAATTTATACAAATATTTTTCTAGAATAAACCATCTTGAAATGATCTGAATAAGATGACATAAAGTTTCAAAATAATAATAGGACAACGAACAGTTACCATAATGGCATCATTTTCAATTGTATATTGTTTCACAGATATCAGCTTAAGCAAACATACCCAGTGTCCTACATTGATTCTGCACATACATTAAAAATGTCAGTGATATGGACTTTAGGATTTAATGTTTTTGCTTGCCTAGCCTAGACCCCCACTATGGATTTGGATTTTTTCTCTAACATCCCACCATGTAGCAAAACAGAAACCCTTCTGAAAAATTATATGTAACAGCAGTGAGTGGCCTATGAGTGGGCCTTAACACAGGAAGCCAAAATACACGTTGGAAATGCCTATTTTCCCTCTTTCTTTTCCCAGCCTTCAAGGATGGCTTTTTCCTGTCATCAGGAATAGTCAAAGAAGTGTGAAAATTTGGATAAGAGACATTTTATAACTTTTTCAGCTCATCATCAGATACTTAATTTGAAAAAAAAATTCTATAGTAATCTTCAATATAATTTATAACATTTATTGTAATTTTTTTCTGGAAAGGCTTTAGGAGTCTGACAGCTTTGTAGAATAAGATTTCCAAGAACAGGTTTTGGATTTACCTGTCCATTTCAGGAGTGCTCTGCCATGGATACTGGGGACAGAGACTATGGTTTGATTCCATATACAATCATGGAATTCAAAGTAGAATTCAGAGTGTTCAAAGTGATCCATCTTCCAAGCATTGGCCAATTTTAAACATTGGATATGTAGAGGTTTAACTAGGTTAGCTTTGGGATTCTGACCTCTCAATACCCGGTACCAACATAAATAAAAATTAAAAAGCTGTAAAGTCCCCCCCCCACTTCTGAAAAAAAAACTTGCATAACATAGGTAGGTAGGTAGATAGATATGACACATTTCATCTACTTACAAAATATTGTTGGCATGAACACATCACTCTTCATGGCACTGATAGGGTTGGTTACTAAGCAGCTGTAGTTCCCAATAGCTTCTTTGAAAACAGGGGAAATGGAAAGTGTATCTTTGTTTATAGTCATGGAGCCATTGCTGCTATCATCAATTGGATTTTCATTTTTCATCCACTGGTAAACCACCCTGGTGCCTTTTTCCACCATACATTTCAAAGTGATGTTTCCTTTTTTTTCTACAACTCCAAGTGAGGGTTCCATGTATATGACAGGCTTGGTGAGAGGCACTGCAGTGGAAACGATACTGGAAGTTATGATCAAGTCATTTCTCTTATTTACATGCAGCAATCTACAGTAGATAATTTTGGATGTCTACATTTTTGCTAGTAGAAGAGGGTGAGGACTGTCACTGGCTCATTTGGAACCTCTACAAGAGGTGGGCCTTCAACCCAAAAACTTTCTTAAAAGAACAAATTGTCTGTTTAATCCCAAATTGGGATCCTCCATAAAGAGGATCAGCATTGTTAAGTATTCAATCAATTTGGGATGCTTCATAGGACTCAATTCACATATATGCTATCTAGAGCTTCCATGTTGAACATTTCCTTTACCTAATGAATATTACGTTGAGAATTCTGGAAATTTTAGTTTCAACATAGCAGGTGGTGTCAGTTTGGAGAGGATTGCTCTAGAGTAAAAAATTCTTTGCCAATTCTTCATCTTTTTGTATAAGTAAACTTTTAGAACATATTTATGAATAATTGCCATTGGATTTTAATTTGCTCATTCATTAGAATGTAAATATTTTGAAACAGGATGGTAAACAGCATGGTAAACAGTGCTTTTCCATCCTCTCTAAGCAGTTTACAGAGCCAGCATATTGCCCCCAACAATCTGGTTCCTCACACTGGAAATATCCTGATGTGTGCAATGGACAACAGTATGTCATAAACTATAAATGTCACCTTATGTAATGTATTTTCATTTTAAAGAATTCGCAGAATATATGCCAAGTGTGTGTCTTTCCTGCAACAACACTGGATTTTGATTATCACCCCATTAGATTTTTCTCTATTGCCAGGAAGTTCTCTAAGCAATATTACTTCACTACACTGAATGTTCAGCAGGACAGATTGTGGCTTTGAGGAAAGCCCAGAAAATGTCATAAACAAGGAATGGGGAACCTATGACCTTTACATGTTGAACTCCAATTCCCAATAGTCACAGCCCATATGGTAAATATTGATAGACAGAAACATACCCCAGCATTTCAAATTACTTACCATCAACAGTAACCTGAATCTTTTCACTTGCTGATTTTGTCTCATTGCCATCGATATTGATTTTTACAATATAATTTCCTTCATCACTTCTGTGTAAAGAGTTTATCAGTAAAGATGCATTTGGAGGTAAAAGTGTAAATTTGTGCCTATATTGTATGTCTGGAACAACGGATTGATTGACTGAACTAAGCAGATATTTAGGGTCTGTTGGTGGTTTTTCAAACAGCCATATTATCTGGATGTCAGAAATGGCAACGTTGAAATTATAAACAACCTCAAGCCTGAGTGGCTGTCCTTCAATGCCATTGACTCTATGTGAGGGAATTGTCATTTTTAATGCAGAAGAATTACCTGCAGCAAAAAGATTATATATATATATATATATATATTACAAATCAAAATACACACAGTGCTTGCTTCAGTTCTATTGTAATATATCTTAATGGGTTTCAAAACTAACCATCACTTGTGTAAGTTCATACTATGACTATTTTACATTTTTGGTCCTCATCTATACCACTATATTTCTTTATACAATTACATTTTTATTCATATTGGGTTGGATATAAACATTACACACATCTCTCTGAACAGAATGGATGAAATAATAATAATTAACTTTTCAGGTTAACCATCAACAGCGAAGGAACAAACAGCCAAGAAATATTGCAGATGGGTATTCAAAAGAGCAGCTGTGAAGACCTTGGAAAAGGTATTCAAATGCCAAGATGTGTCTATACCTACAAAAACCAGAGTCATGCAAACCATGAAAGACTCTCTATTTTTTGTGACATGACATAGAAGTGAAATAAGCGGCAAGGAATATTATTAACATATTTGACATTAGTGTTTGGAAGACTCTTGAAAACTGTGGATAGCCAAGAAACTAAATTGATGGATCATTACGTAAATCAACCCAAAGTTTTCATTTGATGTACAAAAGGCCAGGCTAAAATTGTTCTTCTTTGGATACATTATGCGAAGACCTAGGTTTTTAAAAACCTGTGCTGGTTACAACCATAGAATACATTCATTTTTCCTCTAATATTTTCTTGTTAGTATTGGTTGACTAATCCAGAGTAAACAAATTTGCTTCCTGATTGATTTGAATGGCTAGGGCGAGCACATGGGGTTATAACATGGATTCAGAAGTGATTTTAGTGATTTAGTGATTTATTGACATTTGTAGGCCGCCCTTTTCCCTGAGGGGACTCAGGGCGGCTCACATAAATCAGGGAAGGGGAAATGCAGACAATAACAAAGACACATATACTAAAAGCAATAACCAACATGCATTCATCATTCGGGAGGGGCAACTATCTTCATCCCCAGGCCTGACGGGCTAGCCAGTTCTTCAAGGCTGTGCGGAAGGCCTGGACGGTGGTGAGGGTACGAATCTCCACGGGGAGCTCGTTCCAAAGGGTCGGGGCAACTACTGAGAAGGCCCTCCTCCTTGTAGTTGCCAGCCGACACTGGCTGGCCGATGGAATGCGGAGGAGGCCCAATCTGTGTGATCTTATTGGTCGCAGGGAGGTAATTGGCAGGAGGCGGTCTCTCAAGTATCCAGATCCACTACCATGTAGGGCTAGAAGAGTGTGCAAGAGGTAATATGGTGGTTGAGGAGAGTACACAGAGGTACACAAGGTGATGTTTGGGGATGCATGGTGTTGAAGCATGTGTGCAGAGCAATAGGTGCTATGTGGAACCAAGAAGGGTATATAGAATATGTGGGTGGGTGACATGGCTCAGTTTCAGAGGGGCTGGGGCGGTAGTGACCTTCCCTGCCAGCTTTCTAATTGCCAACACTCCCTGTAAGCTTGCCACAAGCAAAATGCCAGCAACCATGATCAAGTTTATACTTTATGCCGACTGCCTCATTTACTTGTGGGAAACTGGCAGGGAGTATCGGAAATGACAATCATGTGACCATGGTTAACTATGGTGGTGTTGTAGTATGGTAGCAGTGAAGCAACCATAAATTTGCCAAATCCAAATCCCACATGGGTCAGGAATCACAAATTTTGGACATATTTTTTTAAGTTAGCCCATTTGAGGTACATTGAGTCAAAAAATCTTGCCCTATGACGCACCATTCTATTCAACTGAAAGCTATAATTAGTCACAAGAGTTTTAGTCATTCATTCATGTATGATGTATGTGTGTGTATAGGTGGGTATGTATATGTAAATATATAAATAAATATCAGTGGAAACTTAATAGCAATAGAACTTAGACTTATATACTGATTTACAAAGCTTTACAGCTCTCTCTAAGCTAGAGGTGGGTTCCTACTGGCTTGGTCCAGTTCGGCTGAACCAATAGTAATTTGGCTGCCTGTGTCGCTGGAAATGGCAGCGACCCATACCTACCATGTCCACGAGCCGGTTCTCCTATGGCACCACCATCTTGATTTTCGGTTCTGCACATGCGCAGAACAATTTTCATTGCAGAAATGTAATTTCTCTTTTTTAACGTTTTGCACATGTGCAGACCTTTTTAAGTGCGAGTTTAGTGTGTGCAAAGCAAGTGCATGTGCACAATTTTTTTGCGCGCTGAATGGGCAGTAATGCCAGCAGCAACCCACCCCTGCTCTAAGCGGTTTACAGAATTAGCATATTGCCCCCAAAAGTTTGGGTCCTCATTTTATTCAGTTCGGAAGGATGGAAGGCTGAGTCAACTTTGAGCCTGTGAGATTTGAACTGCCAAATTGCAGGCAGCCAGAAGTAAGCAGAAGTAGCCTGTAGTACTACACTCTAACTACTGCGTCACCACAGCTCACTAAAATGCATTATCCTTTTCCTGCCAACATTTAATTGTGCGAAGGGGGGGGGGGAGTACCTAGGCTCTTCCTTATAATGATAATCCCATATATTTTGATCCAATCTAAGCAAAGGCAAGGAAAACCTCTTTTGTGCTGTTATAATACTCTTGAATGCATACTATAAACATTTAAACTTCTGTCATAGGATATATCACTAAAATCAAGCATTGTCCTGTACTCTGAATATTAGTCAGTAAAGGAGTGAATTAGATGTCAGATGTCTCATTTCTAAAGAAAGAAATAGGTCTTGCAATGTTTGTCAGAACATAGCAACTTCAAACAACATAATTATTTATATTTAGCAAAATCGCCTCTAAGAAAGTTATACATTGTAAGAAAGCCAGAGAAATAAAGCTTCAGCACAGAGGAAAGTTTGGCTTCAGAATGGGAATTGATAGTTCTGTTAAATATAATGCAACCCCATCCTAATCCTACAAGACTGTTGTGTGAATGCAACCATTATACATTTTTTGACTGACAACCACAACTGAGCCCAAAATTTCTATTGCTAAGTGAGACATTTGTTAAGTGAGTTTTTCCCCCTTTTACAACATTTTTTGCCAGAGACATTAAGTGTATCATTGAAGTTGTGAAGTTGGTAACTTCACAACTTCAATGTTCTTAAGTGAATCTGGCTTCCCTATTAATTTTGCTTCTCAGACGATCACAAAATGTAATCATATGACTCTGGGGCACTGAAACTGTCAGAAATATAAACAACTTGCCAAGCATCTGAATTTTGATCACTTGACTGTGGAGATACTGCAAAAGCTGTAACTGTGAAAAATGATCATAAGTCACTTTATTCAGTGCCACTGTAACTGTCACTAAATGAACTGTTGTAAGTCAAGGAGTACCTGTAGTTCAATAAACTACTAAAGTACAATAGTGCCAGAGGTGGGTTCCTACCAGTTCGCACCTATTCGGTAGACCGGTTCGTCAAATCTACCGAACCGGTTAGAAGAGGTTCCACCAGTGGACCCGGAAAGCAGGCCACACCTACAGAAGAGGTTCCAAATTTTTTTGAAACCCACCACTGAATAGTGTACACCCCTTAGGTCTACCTCTGAAAATCAAATAGAAGTTACAGCACAATTAGACCAGAATGCAGTGGCTCAGATGTTGGCAGAAGTTATCAAAAGTTCATCACATCTATGAATAGGCTTTGTTTCCTACCAGTTTCTATTTGCAATTCAACTCAGAATCAGAATAGAGCTGGAAGGGACCCTGGAGGTCTTCTAGTTCAGCCCCTTGCTCAAAGCAGGAGATCTTATACCATTTTAGACAAGTAACTGTCCAGTCTCTTTTAACTTTTAACCTTAACCGTTACATGACTTGGCTTCAAGGTATCTCTGTAGACTTCTCTATTCAAATTAAAAATTTACAATGCAGAACTCATGGAAGAATCTAGCAGCAGTTCCCAACTTCCATGAAATAAGGAGAATGGAGGACTACATAGGTTGGTTTTCCATTACAGGACAAGTATTATGATGTGTGATAATTTGATCAGCACTTACTATGGTTCAGAAAAATTACTTATGACAAGGCGGCATTTGATTCTTAATATGTGGCCATCTTGTTACTTGATTTTGTGATTGTTTAAAGATTCCTATTTAATACTTTTGTGATTTTTATGATTTATTTTTATTGGGATAATTCAAACATATCAGTGATTTTTTGTTTATGGCAAATAAAAATGAAATAAAATATAATTAAATAAACCATGGCTTAGTATGACTTATGAACCCTGCCACTACAGATGCCCTTGACTTAGAACCATTTGTTTAGTGGCTGTTCAAATCTAGAGGCACTAAAAAAGTGATTTACATTCAGTCCTCACACTTATGACCATCATATTTATTTAGTGATGCAATAGAATTTGCGTGTTTGTATTCACAATGATTGCAGGGCTCCTGGATGTGATCATTGGAACCTCCTCAGCCAACTTCGGATAAGCAAAGTCAATGGGGTAAGCTGGATTCACTTAACAACTGTGTGGTTCACTTAATAACTGCACTGATTTACTTAACAACGGTGGCAAAAATGTCATTAAATTTGGGCACAATTCATGTAACAGCCCCCTTACTTAGAAATTCTGGCCCCAATTGAAGTCATAAGTTGATGACTACTTGTATTTTTCAGCTTTAGGAGCTCCATTTCACATTCAGATTTTAGCTGAATTAAATAGACCCACCAAAAATGAAGCATTAAGATTTTGTCTTAAATGAAGGTGATGCTTTTTATCTGTCCCAAGTACAAGTAGTTTCTATGCACAACCACAACTGAGCCCCACATTTTTGCTGCCAAGTGAGGAAGTTGCTAAATTGGTTGCACTTCATTTTACCACTTTTGCTACAGCTGTAAAGCAAATTATTGCAGTTGTTAAGCAAATCGTATGGTCATTAAGTAAATCTGGCTCCCCCCACACTATTGATTTTGCTTGTCCAAAGCTAGCTTGAAAGGTTACAAATGGTGATCACGTGACTCCAGGCAGTACAAGTGACATAAATATATGTCAGTTGCCAAGGGCCTGAATTTTGATTACCTGACCTTGGAGATACTGCAACAGTTCCAAGTGTGAAAACCAGCCATAAGTCGTCACTAAATAAATGGTTGTAAGCAGAAGACCACTTGTATTGTAACCAACTGAATTGGAAGTTCTATTTCAAGTTTATAAATCAAATACAATATTGGGGATATCTAATTTGCTAATTACCTAATACAGTATTGCCTGCTACCATATTTGCAGCAATAGTATAGTGCCAGGTAGCGAATCTATGGCACGCATGCCAGAAGCTGCATGCAGAACCACTCTGCACGGCTCTTGTGGCCTTGCTGGCGCCTCTTCTGTGTTCCTGTGCACACACGAATGGCGCACAACTGGCCTTCACACGTCCGGGGGAGCGCAAGACCTGGAAGAGTAGTGTTCTGATGCACATTGGCACCCAAACTTCCAGGTTTCCGTTGCACACATGCATGACAATCAGCTGTTCATCGGGCAAGTGCCTGCACCAGAAACCAGAAGTTTTGATGTCTGTATGTGCATGTGTGCAAAAACGCTGCTCTTCCAGGTTTTGGTGCTCCCACGCGTGCGAAGACCAGCAAGACTGCCCGGTGTAGGCAGGACCATTTCTAGCATGCAGTGACATAAAAGGTTAGCCATCACTAGTATAGTGTCACATTCAAGCCCTGTGTTTTCTAGCAGAACTATTGCTTTTCAGCATATGGTAATGCCAGGACTGAAATTAATTTATCGTAGGGATATTAATAAATGCACGGGGATTTTTATTCTAAAATCTAGCAAAATTATCTGCCTGTGTTCCATTTTTGCTTTGGTATCCAGCTTTTTTAAAAAATTAAAAACAAATTTAGGAATGGTTGATACACAGATAACAAACTTCAAATATAATTTACCAACATAAAATAAGCTTCTGAAGCAAATAATGCACTTTCTTAGCTTCTTCTGTCTGCTTGTGCTTTCTTTCTTTGTATTCAATATAAACAAATTAGATATTCCCAAAGTGACCTCCAACTTTTGCCTAGGCTGCATTTGGCTTTTACATTAGTCTTAAAGTATTAGTAAGCACAACACTACCCTTGTTGACTGGAAACACCCTTCAACGTTTTTACTGAAATAAAAAAGCTGACATAATATTTTGAGTTTCATACATAAACCGACGTTCCATGGGAAGGATTTTGATTTTATTTAAAGAACTTTTCAGTATCAAGTGATTGTGTCATTTTGAAATTAACCTAGTTTATTTTTTGTTGCCTTACTTAATTCTAGTAGCAAAATACAAACATTAATCTGTTTGGTTTATAACACTGGGATTTATGACAGCCATTTCTCCAAATCCATTTAATTGTGAAATTATTAGGCAAAGTGCACCCAGGCTTAACATAATGTATAAAACTCAGTGAATATTTCCAGAGAAGAGAATAATTATTTTGGAACCAACTCCTAATTTTAAACCCAGTTTGCATAGACATGAAAAAAAATTATCTAAAAGATATTACAAACCTGTTACTATAAGTAATGTGGAAATTTTTATATCTCCTTTATGTGTAATAAACGTGGGAATAATGCAGAAATAGGGAACCAGCAGCCTCCCAGACATTGCTGAACTACATACAGTTCCTAATATTCCTCACCTTTGAGCACATGGGCAATTGCTGCTGAGAGTAGCATTTTAGCAGTTTTGGGAGGGCCATAAATCCCCCTTTCCCCTGAAATATCAGAAAAATCTATCTTTTTTTTCCCAATGCTAAATAATATACTATTTATAGAAAATATCAATGAATTTAAGGAATATATTGAATTATATTTATAGAAAATATCAATGAATTTAAGGAATATATTGAATTAGCACATGGCACCATATTTTTTTAAAAAAATGCATTGGTTACATTCAATGATACATGAGAACAATTGCTATCCTTAATGTACAGTATGTACATTCAACCTTCCTAAAAGATAGAATATTACATAATATGTGAACTATAGAACAATCTTGTCTACCCTGAATAAAGTCTTAGAGTTTATTCACCAAGAACCCACACAGAGTTACATAATTGTAGTTTTCATTTACACAAACCCCGTGGTGGTATTTTATTCTAAATATAGCATTAACACTACCAATTTTATATCCATAAAGCTTTTGAAGTTAAGATATTTATGAATTCTATAAAGACTTCTACTTGGATAAAGTTTTAGAAAAGGACAGAAAATAATGCAGAAATCTTACCTAAAAGTAGGCAGAGCACAAAGATTTGCAAGCCACAAACCATGGTGTTGAAAAGTAGCTTGTTTTGTGCTAAGGCCATCTTCTTTCAGTGCGTAGACTGAGCCTTGGCCAGCAGCTGTGGAGTTTATTTGTTAGGGAAATCAGGTGTGAGATACGAGTCACTGCCTTGTCTTGCTTCAGGTGATTTGACTATGTGTATAAATGACACAGGGAGTGGAACACCTGTTAGATTAGTATTCAACATCTTCATTGCCTATAGCCCTATCATAATTCCCCACTCTGATATGTTCACAGCAAATATAGAACACGATAAATTGGGCATACAGTATGAATCACTCAGCACTGATAAAAAATAAATGAGCTTAAAGACCATATGCAGGTTATATTCATCTGATGAGAGCAGACAGTCAAACAGCTCCATGAAGAAAAACCCAAACCTGTACAAGCCATGAGGATTGTAAATGATGATTTTTGGTAGTTTATGTCTTTTGGGTTAGAGGAAATTAGTCCTAGTACTTTTAAATAAATAAGTACAAAATTGCTTTAAAGAGTAGCAAAATTAATTGCAAGATTCAGCAGGATGCAAATATGATAAGGCAAATTAAAAAAAAATCTTTAAGTGTGTATTTATAACTAAGCAGAGCAGTATCAGAGAATTTTGAAATGGGCAAACCCCCTGAAAGAGAAAGGCTGATTACAAATTCCCACAGGAGTGCCTCAGTAATCCAGGCAACTGAAAATGGTGGCAGAGATAACAATAAACTGTGGTTTCCATTCTTAGTGATTAGCTAGGCTATCTACCTAACCAGAATTATAAAGGGGTGCCCATTGTTAACTTCAGTTTCCCAAACCCAAGTGAATCAACATAACTGAAAAAAAGATCAGGATGCAATAAACAGCAATATTATTCAGCCTGTATGTTGCACTTAAATGCTAACCAAGATACTTATACTATTCCAAGACTTTCTGAACTATAAACTGGCTGAATAAGCACAACCTAGACTGAAATTCAGTTTCTGGTTCAGAATGTAATGAGAATAATATTAAGAGAGTTAATTTTCACTTGTGAAATTCAGATTAAATCTTGTTTTGCATTATTTAAACCATGTTTTGCTTCAGCATGGTTTGCTGAATTAGTCATAATAGTTGAGTTCACTCAACATATTAAGTCAAAACTAAATCTGTATTGTGGCTTAGTAATATAGGAAACCAATCATTTAGCTATGTCCATACTGCATGACTACCAACGTTAACTGGATTTTATTTAGCTCATTTTAATTTATCTAATTACTTAAGTGTAAAAATAACTCCCACTGACTCCCATGAGCCCACTACAATAACATATCTTAACATAAGCTAAAATGAGTTTGTAGAATTGTGGTTTCAAGTGGATTACATAGCCCCTAACTAGTCCCTCCCTGGTATTAACTATACCAATATCTTAGTAACCAGTCCAGGACGTTTAGAAAAAAGTAAAGCCCTTTACATTTTCTAATACTTGCTTACAAATATTAATTGTATAGTTGTAAGATATAAGTAATACTTGCTCTGTTGTGTGTAGGTTCCCCTTTCTATTGTTCCAATAGTTGTCGTCCTTTTATAAGCTAAAGAAAATGGCTTTTCATAGATTCACACTAGAGTAAACCATGCCAATCGATAATGAAATAGCAAAAGCAAAAGTTAGGCAATGTTTTTATTAGGATGAGGTTCTACATAAGACTATGCAGTTTTGAGTTTATTCCTGAGACCATAAGGGTTTCAATGAGGAGAAAGTGTTTGATTCAATCCAGCATGATAGAATTGCTGCAAGTTTTTAAACTGACCAACTCTGGACAGTAGCAACTTTAGCTCTAGGGTCTAGAAGTAGTTTTACTCCCTTGGAAAGATCTAGAATACACCCCTGGGTGGTCTTTCTGATGGAAGAGCAAGGAACTTCTGCTTTCAGCCTATCAGCGAGAAACGCTAGCCGCTGCAGGTACAAGGCAGTGGATAGAGTCCACCATCCCTCCCCCCCTCGTTACCTCACAATCTTCTTCCTAGCGCGGTTGCCGCGCTTATGGCAGGGTCCCTATTTATCTCACCATCAATTACTGCAATCTACCATATATGGGGTTGCCTTTGTGAAACGCCCTGAAATTGCTAATAGCAAAAAATGCGGGAGCCTCCACATTAAATTGAGTAACGTGGGATTGTCACATAACACCAACATTTATATGAGTTGTTTTTGTTACCACTTTGATTTTGGATACAATTAGAACTTGCGAATTATTTCCTTTATTACTCATAAAGTAATTGAGCATTGATGCATCGTATTGTCTCGGCATTTACACAGCGATGTTTCGGTGTTTACAAACTCAGCTCGTCCTATCGATATTAATATCTTGGATCAGGCTAATTATTCCATTAGAAACAAAATACGTTTCTGGAAATAACCAAATTCCGCTACCCAAGCATCAGATGGTCCCTTTAAATTCATTTTATCGTTAAAAGGCATATTTCACCCTGAAATTCCGCTAGCTGAAAAGACAGGAAACACGCTGAGCGTTGTGGGAGTTGTATTTTTCTCAGCTGCGTGTCGGCATCCAAAATCCGGAAGCTAAGCTTCCACTGTAAACTTCAAATCCCATGATTCAGAAGGAAGACAGGCGGATCATGTGATGCCCAAAATGGCTTCGCTGTGTTAACAGGCAGCTGCGTTCCTTGGTCGAAGGGAGTTTGCGAGACGAGTGGCTGGCCGGCCGGTAGAAATTGTGTCATCATGCAGAAAATCAAGTCTCTGATGACCCGACAGGTAGCGGGGTGGGAAGAACGGAAGGCTTACGTTTGATAAAGCGAGGTTAAGAAAGATGTAACTGAAACAATTTCTGCAAAAGAGAGCATAGTCAGTACGAGAGTCAGTGTGTGTGCTTCGCAAGGCCGGAATTCTTATAATTAAAAAATGGAATTTTGAACGAGAAGAAAAACCACGATAATATGTTATATTTTCTAAAAAAAAAAAAAAAGTCCAATGCGTTTTGTAGTAGATAAGATACAGTTTCGCGTGCGTTGCTCTGAAAAAGGAGTTCAGTTAAATAGGACTTGCATATTTGTAAATACGCACAGGATTTAAGGTTATTATTTATTACTATTATTTGGGGAGGGAGGTCTGATGCCTGAATAAAGAAGTTATAAGAAGAACGTTTCCTGGGTTGTCAGTAATTTATTCATTCAGGAACGCAAGGACTCCAGATGCGTTGTAGGATTGAATTGTGGCTGTTCAGGCTGAGCTTGTTTTCCCAGTTTAAATTCTTTGTGTGGAAATGATTTCAAAATGTAATGATCAGTTAAACTTGGAACCTTTTCTCATACTATTTGATAACAAAAAGATCAGGACAATTGGTCAAAACTGGGCCAGATAATATTTCTTTGAGAGACAAATACAAGATGATGTGTTTTTTTGACAGAACAATCTAAAAAAAATGAGACTTAATATTCCAAAATTGTGACTATTGATCATAAATCTCATTTTCAGTGTTTTTTAAAGGAAATAATATTGGCCATTTCATTTCAAACTTTCTAATTCTTTTCTGTGAGAGTCAACAAGTATTTTCTTCTGATATAAGTCTTAAGATTGAACAAATAAAGTGTTTTCCAGAATGTTTAGATTACAACCTCCATTAGTTCCAGTACATAGATTGTAGTGAAGGATTATCCTGAGAAAAAGTACATCCTTTTATTATACAGGTTCTTTTGTTGTACAGGTTCGTATGCTATTTGTAGCTGGAAAACCTTATTCGTGAGAATAGTTCGAATTTACCAAGGTTTGGTTTTCAAATATATATGCATCCTGAAGCACTAGTTGAAGCACTCATGTATTCATAAATAAGTTGCTTAATTATTGGGACTGCAGAAAGTGACATATTTGATTTTTTCCTGCTTAAGGGTCTTAAAAGTCCTCAGGATAGTATTCATGATTTGAGCCCCCTTGAGAACTTCAGAATTCCAAGCAAGGTAGGACTGAATACATATAATGTTAAAATTTATTTCAATTTCTGTTTTATATTTGTTTTCTGAGACATCTTATTTGTATTCCATACAGCTGCCTGAAGTCAGCATCCTTGTCAAATTGGGTTAATGACATTAGCATCAGGATAGGTGATGAGATCTTTAGCAATATGTCAGCCTTATCCTTTCTATTCTGCAATAGCAGTGAATAGGATGAGTTTTATGATATCACTTTCCTGTTCTAATAATTGGATGTCTCTCTGCTTGCTTACTATTATTTAATATTTTCTGGCAGCTTTAATTTATAAATTCCCATGTGTGTTATGAATCTTATTACTATTTGGTATCACATTATTTAATTACATTTTACAAAACATATAAAAACAATTTAGACTAATATAGAAAACCAAGAGAAAAGATACATTGTAAAAAAAATAGAAAAAGGAACATACTTATGATAATTTTTTTTATTTTAAACACATAAGCACATCAACAAAAATAGACACATAACTTAAAAACAACATAGGAACAATAAGTTCCATCGTATATCACACCGCAGTTCCAAATCGATTTCTTTGCAGTTAGTGTTTTTCTTACTATACATTTCTATTTTTCATTCATAATCTCCTTATTCGTTATCTATTTTTATGTACATTTCTTTATTTATTTAAACTTAGCTACTTATGATCAAATATTATTTACCTATATTATGCTTTATATTTTTACTGTCATTTATTCTCTTACATACAGATTATAGATATACATTCACATAATTATTCTAGAAAAAGAAACATATTTGACTCTTAGTTTAAAACTGTGTTAAAATGTCATTTTCCCCAAAAGAAGAAAAGGGATAAGAAAGATATCTTTTTTTCTTTTTAAATTTTAACATTCATCAAATCCATATGTCAACATTTGATTTTTCTCTGTCGCCTGAAAAATGTCCATAAAAGACTTTCAATTATAGATGAATTTCGCCAGCCTCACAAAGGACATTAAGTTAGCCCTCATTGCCAGTTCTATCATCTTTATTAATCATTCTTCTATTGTGGGTATCATAGAATCATTCCAATGTTGAGCATATAAATGTCATGCTGCTATTATCATATATAATCATAAAAAATACCATGTGAGTTTTATAAGGCTTTATCCATAAAGCCTAATAAAAAAGTTTCTGATCTAAATTATACATTAATTTTCAGTATTTTTTGAATTACATTATTAATTTCCATCAAATATTGCTTAACTCTTTTGCAAGAACACCAAATGTGATAAAAGGTTCATATTTGAATTTTACATTTCTAGCAACTATTTGAGGATCCCTTATACATTTTATGACTCTTACTGCCATTGATGTCAGAGTTCCCACTATATTAGAATCTGGCTATAACAATTGATGCATCAATTGCAACTGATTTCATAGTAACCTGTTCTGCATATGTTAAATTGGAATGAAGGGTGAGTTTGAGTGGGGGAAGGGAATGATGTAGAATTACTGAGGAACTATAAAATCTGTTGCAACTTCTGTATTCACAAGAATTTTTACAAGATACTGTATTTGTGTAATCCTCCATTGTTTTTTCATATGCTTGCATATTCTCTGTTGTCTCTTAGTTTTTGGCAGCCGCACAAAAAACCCCCTCATATTTTAACCTTTCTTGAGGTATCATGCAACTCCTCTAAATCCATCTATTTTTGTGGATTATTACATGTCATGAAGTGCAGGTTCATGAAGTCATGAAAAGATATGAATGAAATAATCTTTACACTGCTTTTTTTGACATAGTTATAATTAATAATTATGTAGGGATGGTGATTGTCAATATAGAACCTTAGAGAAATAGGCAATGAAAAAGCAAAAAAAATGGTTATTTGACTTCTCAATTGGAAAGCAGAGTCCCTTTTTCTTTTTGCTAATTTGGGAAATATAACATAGTTGCAAGAATTATGTTGATCAAATAAATTCAAATGATACCTCAATGATTCATATAAGTTCTTCATTGTACTTACTTATTTATCATTTTTCTAAACTGCTCATCTCATCTAAGTGACACAAATGGGCACTGATAAATTGGAAATATTTTGCCTATTTATGTTGCTTGTCTAGTTAGGAGTAGTTCTGGATATGAAAGTTACGATTTTGTGGGTTCTAGAAAGGACATGATGGGGTTCATGCAGCCAATTTTCTATCACTACAGTTCCATGATTTAAAAAAAACAAAAAACCCTAATATATTTCTGAAAAAATATAATGGGCAGTGAGAATTACCTTGAGAGACAGAAGGAAGAACTGCAACTAAACAGTAAGGGTAATGTTAATACACATGGTTTGGTTTTTTATCTCAACTGCCTTGAACGATTGCAAAAAGTTTGAACATGATTTACACAAGGGTTATAATTATAAATTAAGAAACAATATTGCTCCAGAAGGAAAAAAACATTAACATTTATCACTAATTAAGGAACTAATGTGATTATCTCTTAAATTTATTTGGGAAATCAAAGAGTATAAATAATGCACCCTGCAATAATTAACTTCTATGGAGGTTAACAATGTGTTACATTTAAAGTCTTGAGAGCTTTCTCAGTGTTTTTTTTTGTCAGAATGTGGAGACATTTCTACTCCATCCAGATGCATCACTCTGTTACTCATTGGTTGTACTTGTGTAACATTTTTAGTTTTATCTTCCTTTGTAGATTTCCTTTGGGAAAGAAATAAGGGAAGAAATTGTAGGCAAAGATGGAGTTGCAAATAATGATACATGCATTTCTTGTAAGATGGTGTGAATAAGACATACTTCTATGCAAATTATTTCAAAAACTGGTCTTTTTGGTTTGGGTATTATGGATCCATTGAATCCATTCAGATAGTTAGACATTAAAATATGCAGGTATTTCAATATATCATGATTTCACTCCTGAAATATTCTATTCTAACCTCACTATATATACTTTGACTTAAGAGTTGGCCTTTTTGACTGTGCAGAAAGCAATCTGGCCTTGAAATAAATTCTTCTTTTTCACAGCTCCAATATTTCAGGCCAACTTTTGGTAATGAGATGATTCCGAGTCTAACTGTTTCAACTTCATTTTTTTGCCCACTTCTGCTACTATCTTAGATCTGGATGCATTGAAAATATTTGTTAATACAGTCTACTAATGATTTTGTTGTATGTTTTCCTTAATAACTAAGACTAAAAGGAATTGTCAGTGGGGAATCTATGTTGGTAAGAATTTTGGAGCCTGCTAATTAACTGTTTACAAATCTCAACAAAATTAGAAGTAATATTAAATCATAATGGTTTTGTTGAGTTGCTCCTACTATGTTGAGCAGGAACGTGCTAGTTAGAAAGCTAAATAATGAGTTATTGCCTTGTTTGTATGCTGAGATTCCCAGATAAAATTCAGTAGGCTTACAATGTTATTTTTTTTTAGTTCAGCATAAACAGATCAGGAGGCAACACAGCCTCATGATAAACGTACACCTTTAATTCCATGCTCATTGATTTCCACATGATTAATTCACTTTTATTCAAATCTATTCCCTCTTTTCCCTTTCTTTTAGTTTTACAAATATATTTTATTTCTATTTATTAAATTTGTATGCTGCTGGCCTCTCAGGATGCACACTTCGTGCACCCTGGTCATCAATAGAAAGCTCCCATTACTGTTGATCCTTACTGGCTAACATAGTTTGGTGTAAGGAGGTTTTCATATAAAACCTCCTTACAGCAATTCATTTGTTACACATCTGAGCTTGTTTGTTTATTCACTCAATTTCTACAGCTGCCCAACTCAACCAAGTGACTATGGGTGGTGATATAGTAGAAATACAGCCAACACCATTTTTATTCTAGTATATTCATATTACTATATGCAACCTAGAATTAACCATTTAAAACTATTCCAATAATGGATTATGAATATTATGAATATGTTGATCAAAAAAAGTATTGTTAAATAACATGATATGTCAGCTAGTTTAAAAGTGACAACTGCTAACAGGATGTAGTTTCTTTATCACTATTAAAATATTAAGCAGGTGTAATAATTCTAAAACAAGTTTAGTTTATCATTTGGACATTCGTTCTCTTAGAACTTTTCTTAATATATCAAAAGTTGTTGAAATTGAACTTTCTAAAAATATTCAACTGCAATACTATGGTTCTTTGGGTTTTAGAATCATAGCTAGTTACTAGTAAATCTGTAATTTCAAAGATATTCCTCAAGATGGCACTTTAATAAAACGTACGAGGATGGTGAAAACATGCAGAGGGCATTTGATGGAGAACTAATGTGTAATTCTAAAAGTACAATTCTGCTAAAATAAAGAATCGGTCAGTGCATGAGCTGGCTGGCATTTTTTCCCAGTGAACATGTTTTCTTTTCATCCTGTGTGTAGTGTAGTTGGATCAGAAGCAATTGCATGTGATTCCATTAAGCTGCTCTTTCAAAATTTTGGGGATTCTTTTTGCAAAATATGTTTTGAGTTGCTAAGAGAAGATATATTTATTCTTAACGATTAGATTCCAATTCATGTTTTCAAGGTGGAATGTCCATTTAATTCTTTCCCACATACCGTATATACTCGAGTATAGGCCGACCCGAATATAAGCCGAGGCACCTAATTTTACCACAAAAAACT